CACTGAGGTATCAGGATGAGGACTGAGAAGGGACCACTGGAGTCGGCAACAAAAAGGCCACAGGTGTCCCTGAGGAGAGCACATTCTGTGGTGTGCTGAGCAGCGAAGTCAGTCTGGAGTATGTTTAGGAGAAAATGTGCGGTGAGGAGTGGAGACACTCCCTTCTAAAGTTTGGCTGTGAATCCTCTTCACAAAAGAATTCTCTTGAGAGAAATAGGGCTGAAGCTGGAACGGAATATGGGCCAAGGATGGTTTCTTTTTATTTATTTATTTATTTATTTATTTAAAGTAAGCTCAACACCCATTGTGGGGCTTGAACTCACGACCCTGAGACCAAGAGTCATGTGCTCTGCCCACTGAGCCAGCCAGGCGCCCGGGATGGTTTCTTTCTAAAGGGAGGAGATACGATAACATTTATGTGATAGTGAGAATGGCCTTAGTAGAAAGAAAATCTTGGATTTTTGTCTTTGGCAGAAAAGAAAAGGGATAATGCAGGAGGAAAGTTCTCAGGAAGGTGAGGTAGAGAGGGATCCAGAGCAAACATGGGAAGGTAGCTGCCAGGATGAATGAGAACGCTTTACTCACGACAACAGGTGCAAGTAGATTGGAAGGTGTGGGGCAGGGCAGGCTAAAAAGTTCTAATGGTTACCATTTTCCCATTACAATATGAGGCAAGGACATCAGCTGAGAGCGGGGACGAGGAGGGGAGAAGCCGGGTAAAAGCAGAGAGGAGAAAAGGAGAACTGAAACAGTTATTTCAAAACTTGGAGGGGAAAAAAAAAAAGGCAAAACTTGGAAGTGCAAATATGCTAGAGAAGTAGAGTAAGCTAACACAGAAGTACTGAGCTGCCCTTTGAAATGTGGTCATAAATTCAGTTGTGCCCCATAGTAGTTGTGACACTCACCAGGCAAGTCACTTCCCCTGCCAGAGCTATGGTTCCCTCTCCTTATCTCAGAGAAGGTTGCTGTAATTGGAGATTATAAAATGGACAGTGACTGGCACATTTGAGGGGCTCACTGAACAGGAGCCCTAATAATCCACAGTATTATCGTGTGTGGTTCACAGGTCCTGTCTCCCAAACTACAGCTAGGGTGGGCCCATAATGTACAATTTGGCCTCATCGGCCTTTCCCCTCCTATCATTGCACAATTGTCCTTCCTTGTTGTAGCAGCATTTTTAAACCAAGATCTATGGATCACTGAACACATCATATCTTCTGAGTGCCTCACAGGGTGCTTAGTGAGTGGGTAGAGAGAACCTGACTCTGTCAAGGAAGTATGGTGGGTGGAAGAGAGTTGAGGGGACAATTCTGGTGGAATTTCAAATGCTCATATGTGAGGGTTGTGGGCTAAAGGAGCTCTTGGCATATGAGAAATGTTCCTAAGTACTAGCTACTACTGTTATGAGTGCTGTTCTTGAGTTGAACTTGAGCTTCCACAATGCATGGCCCAGGACTGAGCCCCAGGACACAGTATAGAGCCAGGTGAAGACCAAGAGTTCCCATCTGTTAAAGACTCACTTGGTCCTGCCTCAAACACTTCCACGTCTACACTCAATTAATCCTCACCTGAAAAATCAGTCTTCGCCATAAAACTGCCTCCATTCTGCAGAGGAGCAAACTGAAGCTCAAAGAGATGGCACTAAGAACTCCTTGGGCTGGTGTCAGATGAAGAGTAGAATACAGAGTGACCTCCCTCCAGAGCCCAGCACTTTTTACACTGGTAACAGTGATTCTCAACTGGGAGTGCTTCCCGCCACCCGCCCCCCCCAACCCAGGGGACATTTGACAATGTCTGTAGGTACTTTTGGATGTCACCACTGGTGGTGGAGCTGCTACTAGCATTTGGTAGGTAGGGGTAGGGATGCTGCTAAACATTCTACAATGTACAGGAGAGTCTCCAAAACTAACAATTATCCAGCCCCACATGTCAATGGTGCCAAGGTTGAGAAACTGCACTAAATCAAGCAACGTGCCATAGAGGCCCGCTGGGAAAGTGACTGGTGAAGACAGGAAGAAGGACAGGAGGGAGGGAGATCACGTCCAGGTAATCTTGGGGGAACCCCTTTAAAAAGCAGCATTTTAGACTGGCAAAGGCAGTGGCTCTGGAACTGGTTAAATCCAGTTTTCAAAACTTGCCACTTCTGCTGACTAGCTGGGCATGATGTTGAACAAACTACTGAAACCCCTGGGCCAGTTTCCCTTTGATAAAAGGATAATAACAGACACCTTGCAGTATTATTATTATTATTGTTTTTATTTTATTAAAATTCAGGCTAGTTAACATATAGCATATTATTAGTTTTGGGGTAGAATTTAGTGATTCGTCCGTTGCATATAACATCCAGTGCTCATTACATCAAGTGCCCTCCTTAATGCCCATAACCAATTATCCCCTTCCCTCACCCTATTATTATTTCTTAAAGATTTACTTATTTTAGAGAGAGAGAAAGAGCACGAGCTGGAGGGGCAGAGGGAGAGGAGACAGAATCTCAAGCAGACTCCTCACTGAGCATGGGGCCTGACGTGGGGCTCAATCTCATGACCCTGAGATCATGATCTGAGCCAAAAGATTCAGACACTTAGCTGACTGAAACACCCAGGTGCCCCCACTTATTTTAGAGAGAGGGGCGGGGAGAGGCAGAAGAGGGAGAGAAAGAATCGCAAGCAGACTCCCTGCTGAGCACAGAGCCTGATGTGGTGCTCCATGCCATGACCCCGAGATTATGACCTGTGCCAAATCAAGAGTTGGACACTTTAACTGACTGAACCACCCAGGCGCCCCAACATCTTGTAATATTATTATGAGTATTAAATGTGAACAGGTGCTCGGTAACTGCAATTTCTCTTAAGGAGGCCGAATAGCCCAGAGTAAATTGATCCTCAAATTTTTGAGGCCATAGAAGACCACCTTAGCTTTTATGCAGAGATTCCAGAGTGGGGTTCATGAATATGCATTATTAGTAGCCCCCCTGGATATTTCTTTTTTTTTTTTTTTTAAGATTTTGTTTTTAAGTAATCTCTACACCCAACGTGGGGCTTGAACTCACAAGCCTAAGATCAAGAGTCCCATGCTCTATTGACTGAGCCACCCAGGCACCCCCAACATGGGGCTTGAACTCAAGACCCTAAGATCAAGAGTCGCACACTCCACTGACTGAGGCAGCCAGGCCACCCCAGCCACTCTGGGTATTTCTGATACAGCTAACAGATCACAATATGAGAAAATATGTTAATGTGGCACGAGTCACATAGACTTCTGGGTTGAATTTGGATGCAGTAGTTACATCTGGTCCAGATGCAGACACTACATTTTTTCGAATTCTTATTCTTTTCTTTTGGTGGGGTGATTATTCTTTCTTCTTTTTTTAAAGGGGGATTCTTAATTCTTAAAAGCAAGGAAATCTATCCCAGAAGCTCCCCCCGCCAGATATCTTCCAGCAGTGTTATTGTCCAGGATTTAGTCATGTGCCCACTGTTAAAGCAAGCCCTTGCAAAGCAAAGGGGATTCCAATTACTGGTGAAACTAATCAGAATTTGCCTCCAGAGACTGAGAGGAACACCTTCCCTGAAGGATGAGTAACTAAACAAAACTGAGGTTTGGGCAGCAGAAGAGACTAGGGGAATGGATGTTGGGAGCAACCAGCAATGTCTGTCACAGTTAGTAACAGAGAAAGCCAGATTAACCTGGGTCAAAGGCCTTCCTCTACCACTTACCACTGAAGTGACTTTGGGCAGTTTCTGTAATTGCTCTGAACATCAGTTTATTCTTATGAAAACCAGAAATGAGCATTATAGCATTCTTATGTAGATCAAACTGGATCCCCATATATAGCAATTAACATAGTGCCTGGTCTCAGATAAGAACCCAACAGATACTGGGCGCCTCGGTGGCTCAGATGGTTAAGCGTCTGCCTTCGGCTCAGGTCATGATCCCAGGGTCCTGGGATCGAGTCCCGCGTCGGGCTCCCTGCTCCTTGGGAGTCTGCTTCTCCCTCTGACTCTCCCCCCTCTC